GATTTCTGTTAGAGTGTTTGCACAAGGAATATATCTTACCCTCTTCTGAGGCTTTGTTCATGAGATGAGGCTGGTACAATCTTTCTCTTAGACGAAGGTTTCATGCATTCAGTCGAGTCGCATTGAAGTCAGTCGAGTTGGATATATTCCAATATCCAGCGAGGGATTAGCCAGGGAAGTGTTTGTATTTACCGGAACCTGTTTTATGGATACTTCAGTTTCTAATTTTGTTACTCTATTCTTCTCAATCTGTTCAGTTCATTCAGTGCCTCATTATCGCAAGGTACTACTATCCTACTAGTTTAGCCCTGTCATTTGATACCCATATTAAGGTTGTTGTGAGAAAATATGTAATCCACCATCGTGTTACTGCGGGCTTCTTGAATTGACATTTGTTTTAAGTGTACTGTTATTCTACTAGACAAGCCCTGTCATTTGATACCCATATTGTGGTAGTTGTGAAAAAATATTATTCCGCCATTTTGTAGCTGCGGACATTTTGAATTCAAAATAATACAGAAATAATTGAATTGTATTATCATCAGAACTTAATATGTTTACCAAATTTCAGATCAATCTGTCAACAGGAACGGTGTCAAAATTCAATTACTAAATTTGACCCAAACGAACAAACTAACAGGGTAAGCTGAATAAAACCGTTTAATAAAAATGAGCAGATTTCTGCGTTCCTCTAAAACTTGACGCAATTCGGTTGTTCATCGATAAGAGGTTTTTAAATAACTTAGTATAAAGACAAATTCATCTGAGATTAACGAATTGAAAATAGAAATTAATGAAAGGAGTCAAAAAGAATGTAGTTCAATCATATCGAGCAATGAGGTTGTTCTTTGTGAAAGATAGAAATGGAACTTCTGATGCTTACATGCTTCTGAATCGGTATGATGTCCACAGGATATACCAGCTATATTTTCGGAAATAAAATCCCCACAATACAATTTTGAATCAAATCGGACCATAATTACAAATTTCATCCGACGTTCTGGACCAGCCACTTTATTGTTTTTTCTTCAACAAAATTTCCATAATGCATTGTCATTGCAATGATAAACACCTACCAAAGTTCAAGTATCGGTTCAAGTTGATCGGATAATTAGAAGTGGGTCAAAAGTCAGTTGCAAGATTTGTCCCACATACATACATATTAATTATTTGGGAGCAAGTTGAATGAAAGCTTTTGAAAAAAAAATGAAAAACCTTGCATGAATGCACATTTTGTTTCAGTGATTATGTGTGTCAGTTTCTCGTCAGTATTACCTAGTACTTCAGGTCTATTAACAAATAAAATATAAAATGGTTCATTCTATTTAGGATACGGTTAAAATAATTGAATATTATTTCAAAAATAATGAATGTGCCAACACAGTCAGTAGAATTTTCAATGAGCAACACCCAAACAAAAGTCTAAATCGTAAATACGTTTTGGAACTAATTTCAAAATTTCGACAAACGGGATCTGTGTCAAATAAAAAACGTCAGATTGAAAACCCAGTAAGAAACGAAGCGGTGGAAGTAGCCGTTTTAGGACAGGTTGTTGCGAATCCAACTCTTGATACAGGAAATCTTGCCGAATTACCTCGAGTAAGTCGACGTACCGTCGGGCGAATTTTGAAAGCTCACAGATTCCATCCATATAAAATTAAACTGCTTAAGAAACTCAACGAAGACGACTTTGATCCTCGCATACAATTTTGTGAAGTCATGAATGAAAGTGCTATACAAGATCTAAATTTCGTTTTCAACATTTGTTTTTCGGATGAATGCAGTTTTTATCTCAACGGGATTGTGAATCAACATAATTGTCAATATTGGTCAGATTATAATCTAAAAGTGTTTCACCAAGTACATACACAATACTAACAAAAGTTAAACGTTTGGGCTGGAATATTTGGCAATCGTATTATTGGTCCATTTTTTCTAGCAGATAATCTGACTGGGGACATGTATTTGGAATTACTTGAAGATACCGTTGATCCAACATTAACGGACATAATAGAAAACGATAACCGTCACCTTGAGGATCACCTAATATTCCAACAAGACGGAGCTCCTCTACATTTTGCTGTAGCGGTTCGTCACTACCTGAATGAAAGATTTCCTAGAACACTCACATGTCTGAATTACTTATGGAATTACCTTTTCAATGCTGTGTCACACTTAGTACTTTCCCTATTCAAATTATATGAGTGACCAAGAGGTGGGGGCGAGAGGTATGACAGTTGAGGTTACGACAGGAAGATGTGCCCCTTGAATTTAAAATCTTTCTGCATTATTTTCACAACATATGTGTTTTGAAGAATTAGTTTTCGGTGCTGTGTCGAATCGAACCATAATTAGAAATTTTGTCCGTCATCTTGTCTTTTGCATCGACAAAAAAAATCATAATTCACGACCCTGAAAATCCCCACTTACTAAATTTGATTCGAATTAGACCATAATTACAAAATGTGTCCGCTATCTTGGAGCCACCATATTGTTTATTTGCATTGACAAACGAACCATAATCGCAAATCTTGTCCGCCATTGTGGAGCCGCCATTTTGTTTTTTCTTGTAGAAAAATTCCATAGTGCAGTCACCAAATTTATGTCGAATTAGCTTGCAAATGAAGTATCATAATTTGGAATACGGGACCGTTTGTTTTTTCGCAAGAGGGCGCCAAAATAAAAAGCTAGGTAGCAAAAATTGACATGGCCGAATTCCCTATCGAATTACCTTCTTAATGACGTATCACACTTACTACTTTCCCTACTCAAATTGTTTAGGTGATAGTGATTGAGGGGTGCGGGGAGAAGTATGACAGTTGGAGTTATGATATAAAGATGCCCCCCTTGAATTACAAATCTACGTGTTTTTGTATTTTTTTCAGAGAACATGTGTTTTTTTTTGCATCTGTTTCGTTTTCGGTGCCCCACCCTGTATATATATATATATATCAGTCATCAAATCAAACTCTGCTTT